CAGCAGACCCGGGAGCTGGGCTGTGCCAGCAGCTTTGGCTGCAGGGAGAGGTGAGAGGCACCTCTTGGGACCCAGGCCCAGCCCCGAGGCACTCACGGCCCCAAGGGCTGCAAAGACCCCCAGAAGCCAAGCAGCCACAACCCTGCTCATCCCTGCAGCTTCACGGGGACCATGGCCACCAGAGCCCGAGCACAGCCACAGCCCCACAGGAGCCACAGCTCTGCCAGGGACCCCACAGCACTCAGCAAACCCCTTACCCAGCAGAGGCTCCATGGCAGCGCACGCCCACCCAAGCACACCAGCCTGAAGCCCCCAGCACAGACAGCCCCAGCTCTGCTCACAACACCACTACCCTTGCTCACAGGCTCACTTCCAGCTCAGTTATCTGAGTAGCCCTAACTGCAGGGGCTGGTTAGCAGCTGCTAATTGCTCCGGTTGCTGCCCTGGTGGGAGCTGGTGGCTGGAAAGCTGAGTGCCCTTTGCTTTGTGAGGGGCTGGAGGGAAAAGGGGCATGTCTGAAGAGAGGGTTTGGAGAGCGGTGAGAGACGGGGGGTCGCGGGGTAATTGCCCTGAACATGCAAGGGAGAGGCACCTACTCGCTGCTTGGTGGGTGGCAGGGTGCTGGGATTGCAGCTGCTGATGGCACTCGCTGTGGGGCAGGCGTGGGACCTGCACGGGACCCGTTCCCAGTGCACTGGTGTGATGTGCCAGCTCGTCTGGGATGGCCCCCCTGGGAAGCAGGGGGGCTGCACTGCCACGGGAGCCTGATAACTGGGCGGGGAAAAAACGATCCCACAAATGAGAGGAGGAAAATGGAGAGCTGCTTTGTTGGCCAGCCAAGGCAGGGAGGAGCGACTCTCCCACAGTAGCCCCAGGTGTGCACTCGCACGCAGGACCCCCGCTCAACCCTGCCTGCCGAATCCCACCGTGCTCGGGGGAGACCATTCCCAGCCCCACACACAGGCAGCCCCTCCATGTCCCCTCCATGTCCCGTCTGTGCCAGCTCCTGGTGCAGCAACTGCCCCACGCCGAGGACAGCATCGTCCCATGGGCCAGGTGTGAGCTGAGCCCTCTGCCATCCGGGATCCCCGAGGTGCCCAGGGCACTTCTGTGTCATGGCCATGTCCTGTGATCCTATGGACACTTTCCCGGCTCTTCCAGTGAGATAGGATATTTGTGCTACTTTCTCTTCTGCCTGTGCTCACGAGGCAAACCTGAGTAATTCACCAACTGTTCTTTGGTGCAGGAACAGCGCAAACGTCCCCACCTCCGGGACCGCTGTGTTTCTCCACAGTGCACCGCGTCAGTCCTTCCCTCCTTACGCGAGAATCATGGGGCTTTCGTATGCATCATCTGTCAAAGCCGTGGGAGGGCTGTAAGCCTGAGGAAGGGCCGGGATTACGTGACGGCAGGGCTGGTTCATGGCCCGACTCCGCAGACATGTTACGCACAAATGTATGTACAAAGCGCTGCCCAGAAAGACCTTTGTCAAGGTCTGTGCCCACCTGCTGGGCCCAGGGGCCAGATCCTGGCAGGGACTGAGGTGCCAGCAGGAGCCAGGTCTGGAGCAAGGAGCTGGGAGAGGCACCCAGTGCCTGGGCCCCACATGCCCAGCTCTCCCCAGACCAGCACCACCAGCCCAGTCCCTGCTCCATTTCCAGTCCATTTCTGAATTCCCCAGGAAGGGGCCAGTGGGGACACTGGAGGGCTGCAGGGGCTGGCACCACAGTGGGGATGGTGCATCTCTTCCAACCATCTCCTTCTCCTGGATCTGGCCATCACATCTCCAGCAGCTCCGTGATGCCTCTGGCACCTGCCTGGGCTGGGAGGGGCGTCCCAAACCCTCGCTTGCCTCTGCCACCGCCAGCAGCAGCCGTAGAGCTGGGCATTGCGTGGGGCGACAGCCTGTGGGCTTGGGGCCAGGACGTCACCAGCATGTGCTGGGGCTGCTCTGGCGCAGGCGGGAAAGCTGCAGCGCCGAGCATCACCCAGCTCCCGTGGAGCACAGCCTTGTGGACAGCAAATAAACACCAAATCCTTCCTCCGCTTCCCTCCAAAACCAGCTCCCAGATTTGAAGTACATGAATCAGACATCAGCCTAAACACTGAATTATTCATAAACCTCTAATCTTTAGATTTCACTGAATATGCAGAAGTATCGATAAAAAAAAATAATGAGAGAATTGTACTTGCAAATTGCTCTTTATTAAAGGTTTAACTTGCATGGGTTCTATACGTTCCCTATTAGACCTTGCAAAGCTGCATAGGATTAGAAATCAGAGAGGATAATAATGTACAAAAATAGTTTCAAATGTTGATAACACTGAACAGCGAGAAAAACATCTTATTTGTATAACTGAGCTAAAAATAAAAATGAAGAACACTGCTACAATTGCAATATGCCATCTTGTAGTGCTTAAAACATATGTCGACGTCTCTGAGCCATATGCTCCCATGTCTTGCCTGCTACAGCGCGGAGGGAAGCTTAGTGATGCACCAATCAATCCTCAAAAGCACAAGCACTGGCCAAAACCTCCTACTTGGGCTGATGCCAAACTGAGTGCAGCTGAAACAGGGAGGTGCACAGGAGGACCAGGAGAAGCGTGTCTCGGGGCACGGCCCTGGGCCGCAGGGGGCCCAGAGATGCCTAAGGATGAACGGCGGTACTATGGGGAGGGGGTGCTTCCTGCTGGGGGGACATCAAGCAAAGCTGCTGCTGAGGGTGCAAACACCGTGCGCATGTTGCCGTGCCAAGCACCAAGCCCTCCCCGAGCACATCCAACTGCAGCCGCACATAGCTGTGCCGTGCCGTGCCGTGCCGTGCCATGCCGTGCCACCTGCTTGCTGGGCAGGATCCGCAGCCATCACCTCTGCGGCATGGAGGGGCCCATGTGCACCAGTACCCCATCCTGTCCCCCCTGGAGGGGTCACGGTGCTTCCCGGGGCTTCTGACATGCTGGAGGTGGGGCAGGGCTGGAGCTGGGAGCACCTGGCAGGGCTGGGGGCACC